CGGAAAAGAGCATCTAGATTGGCACGATCGCTTTTGCACAAAACAGTCCTGAGCTGTCTACACTGGCCCTCTTGCACAAATGCTTTTGTGCAAGAGGGCTCTTTCCCGAACGGGAGCATCATAGTATTTGCGGAAGAACACTGACAATCTTACATTAGATCGTCAGTGTTCTTGTGCTAATTCAAAGCGGCCGGTGTAGACAGCTGGCAAGTTTTTCCGCAAAAGCGTTTGCTTTTGTGAAAAAAATTGCCAGTCCAGATGCAGCCAGGTTGTTTCTCTCACACAGGCCTAGAGCAGAATCTCCACTGGGACTTCAGGCAGTAGCAGAAACACTGTGATCTTACACCAGGTTTGGTGAGGTTGGACTGCCACAGTGATAGGCCCTTTGAGTGATTTTGCTGCCGACATCACCTATTCAAGCGCAGACCCAGAAAGCTCAGGAGCACTGTTGCTATAGGCTAGAAGGAATAGTCATTGGGTTAAACCGGATTAACACCATTGACTTCTATTCACACCTGCTGAGGACCTGACCTCATGCTCCAGACCTGTCTGCTGCCCACTAGAAGAATATTTCACTAGTTTGCTTTATATTTCCAGGCACAACCTGGGTCAGTGAAATTGTGGACATGATCTATAACAACGGTGATGCAGAGAAGTGTAAGCGGGATGCGATTTACGTTCGGGTCCCTTTCATGGAGCTGATCGTCCCCGGAATTACAAATGGTAAAACTTTGTACACTGTAGGTAGGCTCTTGGAGAGATTGGAGGTGCGGCTTTGACAACCCTCCCTTTAGGAATTGTGTTTCCCAAAACTGAATATGAGGATATTTACTCACCTATTAGGCTGTTGGGAGGGTTGGTTAACTGGCCCCAAATTCTGTTCTTGAATAAATACAAGCAAATCTCACTGACTTTGTTGGGAGATATGTCTATAGTCTGGGGATAGAATTTAGCCTTTACTGTTTCTAAAGCACAGAATTCTTTGGAATGAAAGACATAAGAGCCCAACCCACAGTGCATGTAAACCAATGGAAAGATTCCCACTGGATCTGGTCATTTATAAATACAAACTGTCAATAGCATTAGGATCGTGCGCATGATGAACTTAAAGATAAACTGAAATGTTTTAAGCGTAAGTTAATACAAAAGTGGATTAAGGGTGGGATTCTCAAAGGCATTTCTAGGAATTAGATGCCGAATTCTCAGTAATGGTTAATGGGGATTGAGTACCTAACTCCCATATTTTTTTTTGAAAAATCCCACCCTAAAACCCTAAAGATGAGATTTCCATTGTTCTCAAAGGGAGCTGTTAGGTGCTGAGCTCTTTAAAATCTGGCCCTAAAAAAGGCACATACCCTGACATTTAAGATGTGATACAGGTTGAACCTCTCTAGTCTGGCACCCTGGGGACCTGATTGGTGACAAACCAGAGAATTTGCTGAACCACAGGAGATCAATATTGTCTCCCAACACTTCCACTGCTTACTGGACTCTTAGGATATTTCAGGGTAAATTAGAGCTAAATAATAGCCCAGAACACTGAGAGCCAGAACTGGGGGCTATAAACAAACTTTCTGGGACCATGGGAAACTTGGCCACACCATGATAAGAAGACATCTGGCTAACCAAAATCATGCAGGACTATGGATGTTGTTGGTCCAGAGAGGTTTAATTTGTACTATGTTTATAAAGCGCTATATTCACTTTTTATTAAAAGACACGGGTAATGAGGAAGAATATTTCTCACAGGGCTTCACATAAGTACATTTCACTAAAATCAGAAATGGTAGCGAAGGACAAGGCTGATGAGATGATCCACTCGGACTCTCTGAAAACGACCCCATTGGAAACTGCCAGATGTGCAGACAGCACTAGCGAGGGAGATTTCACCAACACCGTTTTCAGACCCAATGTCGGTTCTTCAGTTACTTAAGACTACTTTTATCCTTATCCACATTTATCTGGACTTCATCCAGCAGAGAGATACAGAATGGCAAGCAGCTCAGGGTTATTACAGGCTGTGGGTCCGATTCCCCTATTCATAACAGTGGCCCTTTGAGTGTAAATAGTTTACGATCAAAGCTGAAATAATCCTGTTTTTTCCTTTCATCCCCTTTGTATTTTTCAGGAGTAGCACACCTGGCTGACATGCCCTCTCCCCGGTTAGTAAAGACCCATCTTCCTGTTCAACTTCTTCCTGCCTCCTTCTGGGAAAACAATTGCAAGGTTATGATCATTTCTTTGTATCTCCGTAGTGGCAGCTCCAACCAACACAGACATCCCATCGTGCTCCGCTCTGTGAATACACATAGCAAGAGAAAATTCCTGCCCCTCAGAGTTTTCAATAGGCGAAGGAAGCACTGCTACCCTCATTTTGCCAATGGGAGACTGAGGCATGGAGAGATTAAGTGACTTGCCCAAAATCACATTGCGAATCTGTGAGAGAGTCATCCGCAGAACCAGGTCTCAAGTCGTGAGCAGCCTTTGCTCTGAGATTTTCCACTGAAATGTAATACTGGAATTTCCATAGGATTCTAGTGCAGCTGTGTGTTTAATTGTTGGGGTTTAATATTTTAAACACACAGAAAGATTCTCAGTGACTAGATCGGACTGCCACTGTAAATACTGATAGTCACACAATGTATCTCTCAAGCAGCTGTGAAAGTAACTTAATGTCTTATGGGTACTGCGCTATTGCCACCTGGGTCTCTACCAGTTCTTTCAGTAGCTCCCTGATAGATTCTGCTGCAGCTCAGCCAGCTCTTTCAACAGCAGTGTGCCAAAGCACACCCTCTTCATCTCTACTCTTGAGCCTAGTTTGACATGAGGTATCATCCATGAATTTCTACAAGCCATTCACTTTGCCAACATATTTGATACAATCAGCAGAGCTGGAGAAGAAGATTGCAGGCCCAGATTATAGTAGGAACACTGGGCATGTCTACACTGCAACCAAAGGTCGGACTGGCTTTTATCTCGCTAGCCTGGCTAAGAATAGCAGCGAAGCCATGGTGGTGCAGACTAACTACATACTGAAGATCCCTGGCATGCCTGTACAGGCCGTGTGGAAGCCCATGTCAAGTGTGTTCACTGTTATTTTTAGCTGTGTTAGCTAGTTAAAGCTAGAACGGGAACATCTTCCATGGGGTATGATCACTCCTCCAGCTGCAGTGTAGACATACCCTGAGGGTGGAATCCTGGTCCTATTGTATTGACTACAGTGGGCCTAGGATTCCTAGGTTCTTTTCTAGACCACTGCGAAGAAAATTCTGATTGTTGGACTCAGTCTCTCTCTCTTTCTCTCTCTCTCTCTCTCCTCACAACACTTAAAGAACAAGGATAGCCATTAAGCCTACTGGGTACTATGCCCAATTCTGCCACTCCTGCTCATTGTACGTCTCTTTACCTCAGTTTCCCCATCTGCAAAACTGGCCAAATACTACATTACGCAGGGCTGTAAAGTGCTGTGATCTCTCTGGTGAAAGTTTCTATAGAGCTGAAAAACAGCAGTACTGCCTATTCTGCCACTAGCCTGCCAGTTGCTCGTTCAGTCGAACCAGTCGGAACTTTTTAAAAGTTTAGTTGCAAAACTGATGGGAAAATAGAGTGTGTTCATAAATCTCTCTGCCTGCCTCTTTTCAGCCCCTGACAGAACTCACTGAAATTTGCAGAATTCAAAATATGTCAGACTCTAATGAAGAGGGAGGAAGGGCGAAATTTGAAAATATTTGTGCAAATTTGTTTTCTTCTTTTTCAGTCAGTTTGGTTACTCTAACGCAGATTTGATGGCCCATGGTAAACATCCTGCTCTTCTTCACAGATGATCTACATGGCCCGAAATGCCAAGGATGTGGTTGTCTCTTATTACTATTTCTATCAAATGGCAAAGATTCATCCAGAACCTGGCACCTGGGATGAGTTCCTGGAGAAGTTTGTGGCAGGGGAAGGTAAAACTTAAAGCTACATTCTCCCTACAACACTGAGTTCCCCAGACCAGGGCACTGTGAAACCAAGGACGATGGAGCAGACTATCAGCTTCTCCAAAGATATTTATTTATACCACCTGGGGATCTTTTCTCATGAGTGTGTCGAAATTTTAGTTAGACAGAAGCCTTTATGGGACAAGATAAAAGAATATCAACACATCTTCCCTCAACCTCCACTTCTCAGTTTCTGGTCCAGAGCCAAGAAACCAGATCCACCTAGAACATCTCTGAGATGCTCAGGCAGTCAACTTTAGACATTGCCTAGGCAAACTATCTGTTCCTATGTCTGCGGGGCCAGGGGGACAATGATTTGTTTCAAAAGGAGTGTCTCAAGACATCCAGACTTCTTCACTTTCCCATCAACCCATTATCCTGACATGATTGTTGTTTGACAGTTAGCAGAGGGGTAGCTGTGTTAGTTTGTTTCTGCAAAAACAATGAAGATGCATCTGATGAAGTGGATCTTTGCCCATGAAAGCTTATGCCCAAATTAACCTGTATGGGGTATCCACTGTTTCACCAGCCGTCTTTGATGATTTGACATATGAAATGTGATTGTTTCTCTTCTCTCTTGTGCTCCCGTATGTTTGATTTAGTTGCGTTTGGATCTTGGTACGATCACGTGAAAGGCTGGTGGGAGAAGAGAAAGGACAAGCCCATTCTGTACTTGTTCTACGAGGACATGAAAGAGGTGAGGGAGGGAAACAATATAAACTGATGTAATGCTTCAGCCCCAAATTCGTTATTTGTTTGCATGACGTTGAAGAAGGTAGCATCTGTTCCTAACAGCAGTACTTAATCGGAGAGCTAGAGAGTCAGGCAGAGGGCTCATACGTCACGGGTAATATGCTCAACTTCTGAAAAGAAGTATACACACAGACACACACACACACACACACAGACACACATGCACAAACAAAGATATTTGGGAGATTAGGGATCTCCCTTTAAAGGGGGAATGCCAAACCCCTCCATCTTCACTTTCCATAGTCCCCTGCACTGGCTGAAAAGTGACACTGTACTGGTGTCGTTTGTTATTTCCGCATCTGTCTTTCTTTCTAGGATCCTAAACGTGAAATACAAAAGGTGTTACAGTTTCTCGGCAAGGACCTGGAGGAAGAGGTGGTGAATAAAATCCTCCATCACACCTCATTCCAGGAGATGCAGAAGAACCCCGCTGCCAATTATAAGATGGTATCAAATGCTCATATGGATCACAGTGTGTCTCCCTTCATGAGAAAAGGTGGGAGCCCCTCCCAACAATTATAGCAGCATTTACACAAAAGGAGGAAGGGCTGGTAATGAGGAAGTAGGGTCAATACCAGCTATAATCTGAGGAAAAGCCAAGCATTAATTCCACTTCCACAGGTGAAGAAAATCTCAGGATCCAAGTTTTATTCTTTACCAGCCAAACTTGTCTAAAGACGGAGCTGCCTAGGAAAAGCATTGCTGAAAGAGAGATGGAACTAATGGGGAATTGGGGTGAAAAATGCCCAACGTTTTACTCAGCCCTAGTGAGATCTCTGAAAGAAGTAGGAGACAGAAAAAGGCAGAAGGGAGAAAGTCAATTATAGTTTGAATAGTTCCTTTGTTTTCATGGATTTATAGGCCAGAAGGGATCACTAGATAGTGATCATGTTGTGTGAACCCCTGCATAATGCAGGCTACAGAATTTCACCCAGGCTACGTCTACACTGCAGGCTTTTTGTAAAAGAACAGCTGTTCTTGTGCAAAAACTTGCAGAGCATCTACACTGCACACGTATTCTTGCACAAGTAAATTTACAGTAAAGCATCCGAAGAGAGGGCTTCTTGGGCAAGAGCTATTCCTCTCCCCAAGAGAAATAAGCCCTCTTGCCCAAGAAGGCAGTGCGGACGGGCAATAGGGGTTTCTCGCGCAAGAACCCCTATGGCTAAAATGGCAATCAGAGCCTTCTTGCGCAAGAAAGCATCCACACTGCCATGGACGCTCTTGCACAAAAGCACATGGCAGTGTGGTTGTGCTCTTGTCCAAGACCTTTTGCGCAAAAACTCTTGAACAAAACAGTTCTTGTGCAAGAAGCCTGCAGTGTAGATGTAGCCCCAGTGTTTACTGGTTTTCTCCTCCAGGTATTGCAGGTGACTGGAAGAATCACTTCACCATGGCCCAGAATGAGGCATTTGACTGTGACTATGAAGAGAAGATGAAGGGGTCGACACTGCGTTTCCGAATGGAGATTTGAGGCATCTCCCTTCTCCCATCTGGCTTATTTGTTTAGTTAGGCTCAGACAAATCAAATCAAAATCAAATTAAAGGGAGGCACCAAAGCAAACAGCAACTGTTAGTTACTCTGAATATGATTTTTTGCACCTGCTTCTATTTGTGTGGGCTCTTCAGTTCCGTAGCTCCCATTTGGATAATGCATTTGGGATTTCAAGCGCCTTTGACTGTCACTAGGACCAGAGATGGTTTGAGTTGTTGTGCGCTGAGATTCTCACCTGACTCCAGGGGCTGGGGCTTCAAGAAAACTCACCAAATATGACGTGTCTTGAGAACTTGCAACTAATGTAAGACTCCAGCAGAGCAATTATGCAGCTGCTATCATTAACAAACAGCAAGCTATCAGTGGAATCCTGGCCTTGTTTATTAAGGTCTCACCAAGGCCCTCCACAATAAACTATGTGGTACTGAGTTTGTCTACTATACCTAAGAGGGGTAAAGAGCTGAGCCTGCTGTGACTGAAACCGGCAGGTTCCCGGAAGCCTAGAACGGTGCCAAAACTGATGTGCAGACCGCTAGGTGCTTTGAGATGAATAGCACCGTAAGAGCTAGGCATTAAAGTAATACCCGGGAACGGAGCCTTTCATTCCCATTGCAGATGCATGTCAAATGTGCCTGCCTTTGAGCACTCACGGACTAAAAGTCGTAAATTTGAGTTCGCTTTCTACTACCTGCGTCATTGCTGGTGAACGCCCGCGATGTCTGCAGGCAGGTAGCCTGGGAGACTTCCAGGTGGTTTTGTAACATGACCTGCAACACGGCCACAGATTTGGCCAAGAACAGGGCTGGCCCCAGACCAAATGGTGCCCCGGGTGAGGCGCATCTTCAGTGCCTCCCAGTCCATTTGTTAAACTTTTGAACACTTTGTTTTGTATTGCATTTGTAACCCATTTCACAGCTTTGATGCATGATCTGCATGTATGATTTATGCTTGTCACATAAGATGAGAAATTCCCATGCTAGGCTCTGTAAATTGGTATTGATGCATGCCATAGAGAAGCAAATAAAAAGCTGTTAACTCTAAGCTTTATAGGAACATTTTAAGAACAACTGAAATGTACTAACAGCAAGTAGTTGAACTGAGAACCAACATTGATTGGAGCAGTCCTAAGACGTGTTACAGTAGGGGACCGCCTTAGACTATTAACCCTCACCTTGTAGTTCAAAATGAACTTTTCTCACTTTTGCCCTCGTGCTGATAGTCTTTGCTCAGGGGATGATCACTGCTGCCGAAAGCTTGGCCTACATTGTTCTGTCTCAGATATTTTCCCATCACATTTGAACCTTGCTGCAACACTGAGCCCAATACTGAGCTCCTGAAGGCTTTTTTGGGGACATCTTTTATTTTCTCTGTATTAGGAAAAGCAAAAGTCTGTGTTCTGCAGTCTTAGAAAGTTATCAATCATTCGTATAATGCATGGCAAGAGAGGTAACAGTATTCCTTTTATATTATTCGTAGTTAGGCATTCGATAGATATCTCTGGTGTCTCATTAACTATGTCCTTTATGAGTTGCTGTTTACGCTCTCCATGTCTTACACACTTTCACTGCATCACAGCTGGGCTCTCTCTTCACTTTGTTCTCATGTCTGACAGACTCACTGGTGACGCCCCTTGGGTGTACAGTTGATAACTATCTAAGAGGCGGAAGCAAAATGTAGCCCTCAGAAAGTCTGGGAGGTTCCATGAGATTCTACAAAGCTCCAGAACATTCTAGGAGCTTAGTGAAAAGTGACTTCACATAGGGAATACCCAAAACGTGCCACTTCAAACATTCTGTTTTCCGTTTTGTCATTGACAACTAGAACAGCCCTCTAAACCCAGCAGCTGCTACAACTGCCCCTGAATACGATATTAGTCCAGAAGAAACACCTGCATTCCTCACCCCTTTTGGACCAGCTCAGGGACAATGTCTAGACTGCAGGCTTCTTTCGGAAAACACACTGCCAAAGCACATCGAAAAAGCAATCTGCTTTTATGAAAGATAGCACCCACGCTGAATGGACATTATCTTGCATTTAAGCTGTGATTATTATGGATGGATTGGCCACCTGGGTACCTATGCTTTTTCCTCTTTCCTCTCCTTTTGAAAGAACTCCCTCTTCCGTGTTCACACGTGCCTTTTCCAAAAGAGCTGTTTCAGAAAAAGGCTTTTTCTTTGTAGAAAAAGATTTACCAATGTCAGAAAACCGCCTCTTTTCTTTCGATTTTTTCCCAAAAGAACGCGATTACAGTGTGGACGTTATGTTTTTTCAGAAAAATGGCCATTTTTCTGAAAAAACTCTGTAGTGTAGACCAGTGTTTCTCAACCTTTCTTTATAAAGTACCCCTTTAAAAAAATTGTAAGTACCCCCTAGTGCTTACAGCTTTCAGACACATAACATTTTTTTCTACGATTGCAACACATTTGTTTAAACAACTTAATCGTAGCCAGGTGGGTGATGAAATTTTTGGGTGTAAAAAGTACAAAAATAAGAAAGCCCTGTAAAACTTAAAACAAAAATTCAATTTTCTCCAAATTTCAGTTCTGTTGACATACCCTGCAGACTTCTCTCGAGTACCCCAAAGGTTCTCGTACCACTGGTTGAGAAACACTGCTGTAGACATAGCCAGGGAGACATAGGGACCCTGATGTGGTCTCTCCTGCCTTCCCCAATGGGCCTCAAAGCTGAATGTATTCCTTCCTAGCCTTACGCAGAGTTTGTCTCTTACTATCAAGTCCCTCCCTCTCAGAGACACTGCTCAGAGAACTGGGACGTTTCTTTTCCCTTGGCTGCAGTCCTGAGGGTTTTTTATGTTCTCGCCTACGCAATGAGCCTGCCTCAATCCTTTCACAATCTCCTGGGGCAGATCATGCCAGTTCACACACAGCCGCCTTTCCTTCTCTTCACAACAGCAGCACCAGCAGAGGAGAAAGGTAAATTGAGTCTTCAACTCTATGACCTGTAACTTTTAGCAGTTTGTCTGTTCTGCTGTCCCCGCGCACAGCCAGGCAGAGCACCCGGGCTAGTGCTGGTGGGGGACACGTCCAGGAAGAAACCTGGGCATTTTTAATAGGATTTGACATTGCAAACTTCCCAGACCGGAATGTTCAATGCACTGTTTTTTAATTTTCCTTTAAGTTCTGGGCAGCAAAGCAGTGTGCACTCAGGATGGAAATGACTGCAGGCGTTTCAAAACGGATTTATAATTGTATTGTGGCTTCGACTCATGTCTCATTTTGCTTTAGGGCAGCAGAAATGGTCAGTGTTACATACAGCAAGCTGGGCTTTTGTAAAAGCAGAAGGAGCTGGATAATGAATTGTCTGCTGGCTTACATAGGAGTTTAAGATCCACAGTGGTAAATCACTTGCTAGCTTACAGCATCCAGTGTCATTGGACTTGCTCTAAAAGGTGTGTGTGCAGCAGCTTCTGAAAGGAGCACAGCAACTAAAATATTTTTCATTTGCTCTTTTCAGAGGAAAATCAGGTCTGAAGAGACAAAACTTAACTTTCCTCTCCTGCCTGGGTGGGATTTCAGAGGAATGGAGAGGGATAATGAGAGGTGACACTGTCAGTCATTTGGGAATGCTTGAAAGCCAGCTGATTTCAGGCAGACTATCTCACACACACACACTGAAGAACAGCAGAGTTTGCCCCTGTTGCCTAACGCAATGTCCTTACTGCTTGAAGTTTGTTGTTCATTCAGGCAATGAGAATGCTGTGTGTTCCTTCTGGTCATGGTGGTTACAGTCCTGTTGCCTTGCATGGCTGAAAGTTTTATTATTAACTGGTTCTGGGTCATAGAACACAGTTATCTGGCTTAGTGCAGATAAGTTAGATGCATTGACTAGAAGATTTACTCCACATCGGTCAGTCCTTAACTCAAATATTTTTTGTTTTTCTTCATTTAAATCGTTGCTCTGGTGTGGGGCTGGGGATGAGGGGTTCAGTATGCAGGCTGCCCTGGGGAGAGAGAACTACTCTAGCTCTCTCATCACAGCAGGTTGGAGCCAGGTGAGAAATGCGTATCCACTGCTACTTGCAGCAGGCACAGCCAGGAGAGGGTGCATATCTCCCACTGAGGGGACAGACAAACTCTCTCAACTATATAGCAGATATTGATACCTTTCTCCACCTCTTCTCCCTGCTGCCAGGTGGGGTTATAGCTGTCCTTGTCCCCATCTCTGGCCCCTTGCTGCCCTCCTGTGGTTATTCTACAGCAGGGATGGCCAACCATTTTGAGACAAAGGCTACAGCTAGACTGCAAGCTTTTTTCAGAAGAAGCTTTTCCAGAAGCGATCTTCCGGAAAGACTTCTTTCAAAAGAGTGTCTACACAAGAAAAGTGCAACGAAAAACCAATCTGCTTTTTCAAAAGAGAGCATCCACATTGATTGGACGCTATCTTGCAGTGCTGTTGTGATTACTGTGGACGGGGTGACCACCAGAGCACCTCTACTTTTTCCTGGAGGCCTCTTCTTTTGAAAAAACACTCTCGTCCACGTCCACACATGCATTTTTCTGAAAAAGCTTTTTCAGAAAAAGGCTTCTTCCTCATAGAAAGAGGTTTACCGCTGTCAGAAAAACCCCTCCGTTCTTTCGACTTTCTGTCGAAAGAACGCAACAGCAGTATGTAGGTAAGTGTAGTTTTTCCAGAAAAATGGTCGTTGCTCCAGAAAAACTCTGAAGTGTAGACATACCCTTAGAGCCAAAATAGCAGTGGATAGAGTGCAATGAGCCACATATTATATATTCATTTTTAATACATCTAGATATCTAGATAGATATAGTACACAAAATGTAGTGATAAAAATAACATTACAGGACATAAAAAAGTCTCTAGTCACTTAAGTAATAGAAATTTAGCCGTGTTAGTCTGGTGTAGCTGAAGCAAAATGCAGGACTATGTAGCACTTTAAAGAGTAACAAGATGGTTTATTAGATGATGGATGTTGGTGTATAGAGCTTCTACATCCATGGTGGCAAGGATGGTGTTATTGGGGAGGTTATCGATGTTTTGTAGTTTCCTTAGGAAGTCAGTAGTGTCTTGGAGATAGCTGGGGGTGTTGGTTGCGAAGGGTTCTCTTCTCAAACCCTGGCATGATTTTGGTGGGGGAGACCCGAGAGAGCCTGCAAGTCACACTTCTGCAGGCCCCAACTCCATGTACACTTTTGTTGTGACAAATGAGTCCATTAATGGGAAAGCTGAGCAACAAACTTATTTATGGCATGTGGCTGTCTATCTAATGTTATGAAATGTGGTTTGGTGGGTGCTCATCAGAAATTTCATTGCTGCCTTGTTTTTTAATGGAAACAAAGCCAAAGGCATGCACAATTAAACACTTGGAGAAGAACAGGCCAGCTGTAAAAAACAACAAACCAACGAACGAACAAACGAAAGAAAGAAAATATTCCGTCTGGCTATGTCTATACTACCAAGTTATTTCAAAATAACCTTATTCCTCTTCACAAGCAAGGCTATGTCTACACTACAACAAAGAAAAGTCAGAAAAAGGTACGCAAATTGTGAATCACAATTTGCGTATCTTTTTCCATTTTTTTCTAAAAGAGGCTTCTCTGACATTTGGCCCATCTACACGGGGCCAAATTTTGGAAAAAACTCTTTCAGAACATCCTTTCTTCTTCGTAAAATGAGGTTTACAGGGATGCTGACAAAATGCGTTCTCTTTTCCGACTTTTTCAGAAAAGTGAACGTGTTGCTTGGATGCCGCAGAGCTTTTCCGGGATGCCAGAGGTATCTGTAGTCTAGATGTACCCCAGGAATTTTTATTTTGAAATAACAGGCTTGGTAGTGTGGACACTCCCCTGGTTGTTTTGAAATAAGGGGAGTGATTTTAAAATAACTCCCCAGTATAGACATGCCCTCACATTCCATGGAGTGTCAGAAAGCACTGGGAACATAACAGTTGTATGTCCAGCCGCTTTCCCATCTGTTCTCTGTTGACCTCTTCCCCACAGCATGGCTTCACCAGATTATATTCGGCAGGACTGGAGGACAGTCCACGACACTCCAATGGTCTGCGCATTTTCATACAACTGGGAAAGGATTGACAACTTCCAGAGCAGGCCAGATGACATTGTGATAGTCACATACCCCAAATCTGGTGAGTTTTTATGCTTTCAGGGTTGGGAGCCAAAAATGAGCCAGTCCCTATGGTCCTGGAAATGTAGTGGGGTCCCCTGAAGCCCTACCATGTCCCCTTTTGGAAAACAAAGCAGCTCCAATGATTCACAATGGGTAACTAACAACATCAAGCAAAAATGCCAAGGAGTCTTCCCAGCATGTCACAGCTGCCAGCCTACATTTCACTCAGTGGAAATGATCCCATCAAATGTAACCCCAAGACCTTCTGGACTGGGATGTATTCCTTTCTTAAATGAACTTTCTATGGCCTTGAGCAGCTGCAAGGGGAACATCTCAGGCACCACGCAGGCACAGGGAGATGGATGAGCATTTCCCCAAACTAAAGGGACAGACTGAATGTAATATTTCCCTGGGCTTTCCTAGTGTTTGGTGATGTGCCTTGCTAGGCTAGAGACTGAGTCCCAGCTTAACGCTCTCTGGGCTGTCAGGGGCTGGAGGTTTTGTGGTCCTGGGATAATTGGAGTTGTTTGGTTGATGAAGCCATGAGATTGATGGGTCTGAAGGACTGAAATTCTCCTTCGACAAACTGACCTCCGTCATGCAGTGCGTCAGAGCCCAGGCGCTAGAGAAAAAACAAATTGAGGAACCCTTGAATGTCTTGACAAGCAAAAGGTTTTTGGTGCCGAGGGACAGGAGGTGAATTGTGAGCTATATGCCGGATAATGTTTTTTTACCTGTTTTTACAGCAGCTTCTGTCACCCTCACTCATGATGATTAGCTCCCAGATTGAGGTAATATTAACTGAGAGCAAGGACAGCAGGATCGGGCCCTTCAATTGCAATGCCAGCTTTATTGAGTGGTTCATACATTTTATCTTTAACCGTAACAAAGCAGCAGGCTAAGAACCAATGAAATTCAAGGTCTGGAATTTTCCCATTCCAGTGTGGGTGCTTTAAATGGTGGGGGTGGGGAAGGTGGGGGGGCACAAGTATTCAGAATTCCAAATACTGGTTCATGATTCCAAATGAGGTCAGCTGCCCTTCCTTGTGTGAGGCAGCAAAGGTCTAAGCATTGGCCCAGCAAGGAACCAGGCACAATGAGCCATCCTTGTGGTGACTATATGGTGCTGGCTCATAGGGAGGCAGGCAGGGGTTAGCACGGTGTTTCCCAACCAGGGTTCCACAGAACCCTGGGGTTCCACAGACCTTCGTCAGCGGTTCCGCGAGAAATCGTGAACTAAATAAATAATTTATTTTCTTACAATGTAAGCTGACTTGTATATATAACAGCTCTTTACAAATAAATGTTGTTGACAATAGTTTAGCAGTAATTGAATTGCGCTCCCTGCTGTCAACTTTTTTTGGCCAAGCAAACATTTTCATAGGTAGGGGTTTCTCGGGATATGAAAAATTATTTTAGGGGTTCCTCCATGGGAAAAAGATTGGGAAGCACTGGATTAGCAGAAGGAAAATTTAGGAGTGTTAGGATGAAAGAAGGGGCGGCATCCTATCTCTTGTCCCACATCAGATGGGATAGGCCACTCTGGTGTATTACACAAATGGTAAAATCCACGTAGGGCTGGAACTTGGATTTTTCCTGTATCTTGTAGGCAGCTGCTGAGAACACGGAAATGCTCACTGAAGACCTAGTGGTGGAAAATCAGCTAGCACGTGTGTTGGCCTAGGAAGGCTTCACCTCATCCCTGAAAAGGGGTGTGGTGGGACAGAGTTGCAGATTTGCCACCAAAAGAGACCTCTGGAGTGGTCTGCTTTCCCGTGGTAGCTGTGTTTGACCATGCTGCCAACTGCAGTGTTCCGCTACAGACCAATGACATTCCACTGCTACCCAGCCTCAGGCCGGTGGAAGAGATGTAGCTAGAACAGGGGTTCTCAATGTTCAGTGCACTGCGACCCCCTTCTGGAAACAAAAATAGCGACATGACCTCAGGAGGGAATAACGAAACTTGTCACCTGAAGTGTGTGTGAGGGAGAGTCAAATCTGAATCCTTCTGCACTGGTTGATGGTGGTGGGGAAGCCAAAAAGAGAGTTTGTAACTTGAGCTCCGCTCCCCAGGGGTTCAGCCCCAGAGGGTGGGCTTAGGGTTTGGATTTGGCCTCATGTCCCAGAACGTCTAAGTCAATCCTGGCGACTCCATTAAAACGGGTTCATGACCCACTTGGGGTCTCCAACCCACACTGGAGAACCGCTTGGCTAGTGTTTGGAGGATCCTAAGTGGATAGATGGAATATCTCCAAGTGCTGCTGTCTTGGCTCGGAGGACAATGGATGAGGTTTCTGACTGAGCGGATAAGCTAGATTCTTGACTGAGTTTTTCTCGCTCATCTTGTTTCCAGGCACTACATGGATGAGTGAGATTGTGGACATGATTCTGAATGACGGAGATCCTGAGAAATGCAAGCGGGATGCAATTTTCAACAAAGTGCCCATGTTGGAATTTTCTGTTCCTGGAAAGATGCCACCAGGTAAGCATAACACTTGTGGCTAGTGACTATTGGAGAAGATGGTCAGAGATTCAGTGTGGCTGGCTTGCAGTTTCAGAGAGGAATGAAAGAATTGTTGATAGATCTTTGCCCTGAGACTCAGGAGATCTGGCTTCTGTTGCCAAGTTTCAGTGATTCTAATGTACTTTTGGAAATGTTACCTTTAATGCCTTCTCTGTCAGCATCAATTATCCCTGGGAACTTTTGCTTACCAGGTACAGAGCAACTAGACAAGCAGCCATCTCCTCGCTTAGTGAAAACCCACCTGCCAGTCCATCTCCTTCCAACGTCCTTCTGGGAAAATGGCTGCAAGGTAATCTGTGACTGGGTCCTTAGGTCTTCTAGACCAGTGGTGTGCAACCCTTGGGGGGGTCGAGGCTGTCTTCCTGGGAGTCGCAGCAGCTGGCCGGCCTTTTCTTTTCCTGTCTCGGCGTACATGTGGAGGGGGAAGGGATGGTGGCAGGGGAGTGTACTGGTGATTTAAATTAAAGGGGGCTCAACAAAAATTCTCCCAGCTCTGGGGGTTGTGAATGAAAAAAGGTTGAGCACCACTGATCAAGCCTATAGGCCGACAGTGGAAATATGTACCTTGAGCACACAGAATATTTATACTGGTCCCCCCTTCTGCCAGTTCTGCTCCCACATTTTTACCCGCTGACTCTTCTCAGGTGGGAAGAGTTGTTGTTGTTTTGTTTGGTTTTGGTGAGTTGCTGTGGTGATTTCTACCTAGGGTAGCACGCTGTCAGCTTTACCTGTGCAGCATTGGGATGCAGATTTATAGTCATAGTTTGGCTGTGATTTTCAAACATCTCTAAGGGATCCGAACGTCCAGTTCCCTTTAAATTGGCCTCGTGGGATTCCGATGCCTTTAGAGAACTTTCACTCAGTTTTAAGTAAGATGCTTTTCTAGCCACCAGGTTTGCAGGCTCTCCTTGGTATCTGGCAATCAGACTGGGTTCTTTCTGGCTCATGCTTCATCATGAGGAGTAGGGAGAAAAATTGTTCTCCTTATCCTCTGATGATAGGTCAAGAAGCAATGGGCTTAAACTGCAGCAAGGGAGGTTTAGGTTGGACATTAGGAAAAACTTGTCAGGATCATTTTGTATCCACATCTGCATCTGTAGCTGCAAAAAGGATCCATGTCTATAAGTATCCACATTAGTTCATTTCAGTTTTATGATCAATAACAAAGAACCTGGAAAGAAAACTCTACCAACATCACCATCTGCAGAAAATCCTGCTTCCAAGGAAAGCATGCTTGGCTTGACTGGTGTTACCCAGACATAACTGGGGAAAATGTGGTCCTGCAATTGCAAGTCAACTAATAGTTCTGCTTGATGATTCAAGAGACAGAATACAATCCAGCTTGCCTCCCTGTAGCTATATTGGGCCTACAGCTGTGATGTGTTTTGCCACTATATAAATGGCTATGACTGAATACACGTGGAAGCTGCTGCATCCAGGGGAGTAGGAGGATGTGCCCCAAGAACAGAGCAGATGGGTAATGCAATGTTTCTATCCTTCAGAGGTAGGCCAACTTGCAACTGAAGATCTGTAGGAGGCTTCCTAGGGGATGCACAGAATTAGCTAATCTCCCAGGCATCCTGGTAAAAATCCCTCCATGGTATACACCACCCACTTTGGGGGTAATATTTGTCCTTTGGTGGACTACTAGTGCTACCAGAGTCTCCAATCCTGTGGAGGCCTCTGTACTTCCTGACACTAGCAGAAATGATAGGATAGGATTTTGTTGATAGGATAACAAGCCTTGTGGATAAGGGGGAAGTAGTAGATGTGGTATAGCTAGATTTTAGCTATAAAATTAGTCTCACATGATCTTGTCAATAAACTAGGGAAATACAATCTAGATGGGGCTACTATAAGGTGGAATCTGTTTTGGGAGGTGCTGATCAGGCCTTCGGACCACGTGACCAATCCAGCAAAGTGCCTGATCAGAGCTTCCCAAAACAGATTCTGTTTTCTGAGCTGAAGGAAGGACAGAGGAGAGTTGGGGGCCAGAGGAGGTGATTTAAGGACATGTTGAAGGTAAACATGAAAAAATGCAGTATCAGTGTCGACACTTGGGAGAACCTTGCCCAGGACCGTTCCCAGTAGAGAGCGGTAATCCATGAGGGGGTGGTGCAATTTGAGAGGTCCCGCTGCAGTACAGATGAGGAGAGGCAGAGAAGGAGAAAATTGCTGCAAAAACTGCCTTGCGTCCCTCCAATAGCCACCAACACCTGCCCCTTCTGCGATAAGACCTGTGGCTCCAGAATTGGGCTGGTCAGCCATCTACAGATCCACAAATAGGAGGAAGATGTCTTACTCATTATCAAGTGACCACTGAGAGAAAGAAAGGAAGATGTCTTACTCATTATCAAGTGACCACTGAGAAAAAGAAAGAGAGAGAGAGAGATTATAAAGTGGATGCATGACTGTTTGGATAACCATTTCCAGAGAATAGTTATCAATGATTCACAGTCAAACTGAAAGGGCATAATGAGTGGGCTACCACAGGAAAAAACCTGTCAATTAGACTGTCCATGCTAAATGAGACTAATAGAGTTGGCTGTGTCGGATACTCAGCTTTTGATGTCGTTTGGGTGTTGAATATAATGACCCATCCAGTTCATGTCTTTGTTCAAGCCATGAGAGAGCGTGTCAAATTTTGCATATGAAGGCCAGTTCCCCAGACTCTCACTCTAGTTGATTTCTGAAATTACTTTGTAAGGGTACGTCTAGACTGCAATGCTATTTCGGGGCATCTCGAAATAGCTACCCTATGTCCAAGGAATGCATCCGGTAGTTTGAAATAATTTTCAAAATAATGGACGTGCTATTTCGGCATCCTTGTAAACCTCACTCCATGAGGAATAAGGGATGTCTCAAAATAGTGCTTTATTTCAAAATTTGGTGCTGTGTAGATAGACCAAATTTTGAAATAGCCTATTTCGAAATAAAATCGAAATAAAATACACAATTTGTGTAGCGCAAATTGCATATCTTATTTTGATTTTAGAGTGCAGTCTAGACATACCCTTAGGGAGGAACAAACAATTTCACACATACAAAATGGAAATGACTGTCTAGAAAGGAGTACTGTAGAAAGGGATCTAGGGGTCATAGTGAACCAAAAGCTAAATATGAGTCAATAGAGTGACACTGTTGCAAAAGAGCAACAAAAATAATTAAAGGTCTAGAAAACATGACCTATAAGGGAAGACTGAAACTATTGGGTTTGGTTACTCTGGAAAAGAGAAGACTGAGAGGGGAAATGAGAACAGCTTTCAAATACCTATAAAAGTTGTTCCAAAGAAGAAGGAGAAAAATTATTCTCTTTAACCTCTGATAATAGGACAAGTAGAAATGAGCTTAAATTGCAGCAAGGGAAGTTTAAGTTGGACATTAAAAAAAACTTCCTACCTGTCAAGGTGGTTACACAATAAAATAGATTCCCAATAAAATAGGTGGAAGTAGTAAAATCTCCATCATGGGAGATTTTTATGAGCAGGTTCTACAGACATCTGTCAGGGATGATCTAGATGGTGCTTGGGCCTGCCATGAGTACAGGGGACGGGACTAGATGACCTCTCAAGGTCCCTTCCAGTTCTAGTGCCCTATGATTCTATGAAACGGGTGGTGTTGTTTCCCCATTTTTACAGATGGGGAAGATGAGGAACAGCGAGATGGATCCAAGACCCAGAAAGAGTCACTAAAAAGGTTAGGATCAGAGTCAGGGACAGAGCTTCTGTAGCTTTCAATCCCCTGCTCAGTCCCTGGTGCTCTACTAAGGGGCGGCCCTAGACTAGCCGCCAGCAACTGGCGCCCTAAGGTTCCCTGGTGCTCTACTAAGGGGCGGCCCTAGACTAGCTGCCAGCAACTGGCGCCCTAAGGGAACCATGCAATCGGCACTCCCATCTCCAAACCCCTCCATGATATTGCGCCACCATTTGGAGCCCCATTTAACTTGGCGCCCTAGGCGACTGCCTACTTCGCCTATATGGATGGCTGCTCCTGGCCCTACTCTCAGACTGCAGCACCCAGGTGCTTTAAATTAATTTGTCCTTTCCTGAACCAGCATTTGGATCCCCTGCAGTATGGTTGGGAGTTTGAAAGTAGACAAAGGGAATTAGGCACCAGCTTTGGAACCTTTGGAAATCCAAGTTTTGAGCCACTCAGAACTCAGAGCCACAGAGGCCACTTGGATTGTTCTCTTCTTCCTTCCGCAGATGATCTACGTTGCCCGAAATGCCAAAGATGTAGCTGTCTCCTATTACCATTTTGACCGGATGAACAAGCTGCATGCAGACCCTGGCACGTGGGAGCAATATATTGAGAAATACATGGCGGGCACAAGTGAGACCAACATCTCTTAGCTATTTGTGTTCCCAGGGTTTTAAATTGATGCTGCTTGAAGCAAAAGAGACCTGCAACTTCAGGGGTATTTTTGAGGCCAGGACCAGCCATTTGCTAGAAAAAAAGGATGCTGCGCCTGTCAGCGTGCTCTCTGTGTACTAAAATCCAGTGGGAAATGAGGGAGGGAATTTTCCTATTAGATTGGAGAGTTTTGAGAAGCCTTCACTCCAGCCATACTCCCTTCAGAGGGAGCAGTGATTGGGGAATCTGGACACTGGCCCAGACCCTATCTATCTATCTATCTATCTATCTATCTATCTATCTATCTATCAGCTTGTGCCTCTGTCTGTCTGTCCGTGAGTCTACTGTCTGTCCATCCGTCAGTCCCTTTGTTCACCTCCTAAACAGTAAGAGCTAGGTCCACCAAATTTGGTAGGCAGCTTCCTCTTATTGTTAGTTAACACAAGATCAGGGGTTGATTATGCCAGGACAATGGGTTGTGCCTGGAATGAGATTGTTCTCCAGAACATGGAAAGGGAGGGGGCTGATAAGAAGGTCAGCTATACGGCAGTGACCATGGAGGGTGGCCACACAAAGATGAGAGGAGACAGTTGGGGCTGGGACTCACCATACTGCAGGCCAGTAGCCTAGGTAATTGGTCCCCTCTGCCCGAAACCCCTCCCGCCAGCCCTCAGCCACAGCTTGCTGCCCCACCCTTCCCTAGCACAGCCAAGGCTGCCCAGTGCAGCCTTCCCCACTCCTGCATGAGCCCCCTTTCTGCCCAACGGGCTGGGCCCATAGAGAAGCCAGAGTGTGAGGTGTGCAGTCCCCAAAGCGCTGGGGACTAGCTAGCAGGTGGGGTGCATGGCCTCCACTATCCTGGAAGAAGCCAGAGGTGGGATCTGAACCCCCTGGCTCTGCAGAGAAGCTGGTGGCCATTCTCTGCCCCTACCCTGAGTCCCCTTCCTCCCAACCTTCCCCTGAGCCCTCCATCCCCTCTTCTAAGCCCCCCCAACTTCCTGCCCTGACTCCTGCACCCCAACCCTTGCCCTGAGCCCCTCCTTGCCCCAACCCTGCCTTCTGCATCCCCACTCCTCCAGCCTCCTGTCCTGAGCCACCCACATTCCCAACTCCCTGCCCTGACTCCTGCACCCCCCATAACCCTTGCCCTGAAGGACCTGAGCAGTGCCAGGGAAATCTTCTAGTATATTTGGATCTTAGGGAGACGTCCTCGGCAGCTGTGAATCAGCAGAGCTGCACTGACATAAGTGGAGCTGTGGCCACTGTACACTAACGATGGAACTGGCCATGGACTGTAATAAAGTGAAGCTGATTTACACCAGCTGCAGATCAGGCCATTGACTGCATTGAACGTGTGCCAGGAGATCTGTCCCTAAGCTGTATTTATACATGAGCTAGCTAACACCTGGTGCCTGCTCCGGTCATTAAGTAACACATGAGGATTCTAACCTGACAGTGCAACCAATGAGGCAAAGTATCTGACCCAGTGTATGGAAACCACACCAAGGGGGGTTCGTGCACAGTAATATGATTTGCATAGGGTGTCGTAGTAACAGCACACACAGTGCATTTCAGGGGCGCTAAGCCAAAGGGGCATGTGGCCCCCAGTTACCTGACACACTCGCGTCACTAATCCCGTGCACCCCTCTTCCTCTAAGTTCAGTTGCGTATGGGTCCTGGTACGAGCATGTGAAATGCTGGTGGGAGAAGAGAAAGGATCATCCCATCTTGTACCTGTTCTATGAGGACATGAAAGAGGTGAGAGGGCAACAAAGTCACACTTGGGGGGTGTAGCAGGTTGGGATGCCCTGCCATGGCCACTCCAGGAATTAGTTCGGTCCAGTCTCAGAGTGGCTTCTCTGGGCGGTATCTCTCCAGGGCGGTTATCCACACTGTGGGGGACCCCATTACCCTAAGCTACCACTTGCCTCGGTGACCCACTGCCATTCATCATCAGCCCCTTCCCTCAGGGGCAAACTGTGGTCTGAACTGGGTTGCACCTGCTTCCTATTCCTGCCCTGGCTGCTCCTATGCTGCCCTAGGGCCTCCCTGGGCCCCTGTCATTGGGCCTCAGCCTGGGTTTATTCAGGCCCAAGAATCCCAGTCTTTCCCCAGCACTGCTCTGTCTATGGTTCCACGGCCAGCAGGCAGCTAGGTTCCTCCTCCTCCAGAGCCGGAGTAAAAAATGGGCTCCTTCTGGCCAGCTCTTTATACAGCTCTGCTGGGCTCTGATTGGCTGCCTGAATCCTTCTCCCGATTGGCTCCCAGCTTCAGCCCTCCAGATCTGGCCCTAAGAATTCTATGACTGGCTGGGGAAGATGTGGCTGGAATTAGGCTCCTACTGAAGTGGCCATCTGCATCACTTTGTAAATAAATGATATATTACACCACCACCAAAACTGAACATGACTTGGATTGCAAATTCAAGTGTTCAAAATTAAGGCAGTGCTAGAATTCAGGTTGCCTGTGCAATGTGCTAATACTAGGGAGAGACGAGGAAGGGTGTTTTCTTTTGACTGTTAGTCTCCTTTTTCTTTTGGGAAGGGTGTAAGAAATGGATGCAAGGCTGATCAACTGTATCGCTGGATATTGGTTTTGATGTAAAGAAAGAACTAGAGTTTCTGATGCCTCATAGAAGTGCTAGACTTTCACTGTATTACATGCTGACGGCCACTCTCTCCTGACGAGGGGAGTAACTGGTTCCCACCACGCACCTTCCGAAGTGCCACTTGTCTTTCTGTAGGATCCAAAGCGTGAAATCCGCAAGGTGATGATGTTCCTGGGGAAGGATTTGAAGGAGGAGGTTCTCGACAGGATTGTCTCTCACACTTCATTTGAAATGATGAAAGAGAATCCCACTACAAATTATAAGATGGTCCCAACTGATGTAATGGACCACAGCATCTCCCCTTTTATGCGCAAGGGTAAGGATTCACACGGGTACTAGCAACCATTATTCTCCTCGTTTGTAACAGGATGGTACTTTTCATCCCGTTTTCCTTCGTAAGCTACTCAGGCAGTATTTATATCTGATGGCTTTTCAGTGGCTTGTGTAAAATAAGTTGGTGGCACCGTTGCTAGTGGATAGGTGTTTCTATCTCACAGATGCCTTGGAGGAGGCACTAACTAGCAATCCCCGTCTTATCAGAGAGACCGGGGGCTAAGTCCTTACCTGAAGAACAGAGCTGAGTAGAGTTGTGGAAGTCTGCACTCTGCTGCTGCTACCTGTTTGAACCTGATCTGTGAGTAAATGGAGGGGAGAGATCCCGATTTCTAAGACTTTAGCTCCTGGTTAAACATCAACAGGAAGTAACTGAATTTTACAGAAGCATCCAGAACAACAAGATCTGATGCATGCTGAGCCCTTCTGAAAATCTGGCCACTTTGTTTACGTGGCTAAGTGGGAACTAAGCTCTTTCAGAATTTGGCCTTAATTCCCCACGTCTCCCTGTGGTGTCTTTGTCAAGCCTCCCATTCACTAGCAAAAGAAAAGCAAAGAAGTATGTTGGCAAGCAGAGACAAATGTGAACAATAATAATAGAACCTAAGGGTGGAGTAGAGAGAGAATGATACAGTCTGAGCCAATTGGGACTGGAACTGTTTTCTGTTTGCAGTGCAATACTCAAAGGGGGGGGGGGCAGTTTTTTGCTGGTCTCTAACCACTACTGTAATACACATGTTTACTAACAATAATACAGGTGAGAGGCAATAATTTTCATATCAAAATTATTTTTAATACAATTAGTATGGAGTAGAGAATATGGTTAGCTGGTTTGCTTCCTTTTCTTGATGCCTTTTGTCCTCAGTATATGGAAAAGATATTCAAAGTGTTAGGGTGCTAGGCAGACCAGCTCTCCTTGAATATATCTGTTAGTGGAAATGGGGGGCGCTCAGCACTGAGTTTTTGGCTAATGAGCACTATGTTTAATGAACAACATTTGTCTTTTGTGGTGCATGGAAAATGTATTCACTTAACTGATCAGAGTCAAAGTCTGGCTTCAGCTACACTTTTCAAAGAAGCTAGAGAAAAGAAAGCAACAGAGCAGAATTGAGACCACTAACGTTTTGTTGATACTCTTTTCTATTGCCTTGCCCACCACTGGGAATGCCTTTGCTTTATCCACTGTCTTCTTTGCTTTAGGGATTGCTGGGGACTGGAAGAATCACTTTACTGTGGCCCAGAATGAGAGATTCAATGAAGATTATGAAAGGAAAATGTCTGGGACCACATTGCAGTTCCGAACAGAGATCTGAACAAACTGGCGTCTTCATGCTGTAGTTCTAGTACACGCGTCACTGTGGTTTCTTTTGCCAGTAGCTTTTGTTTGCTCCTGCTTTAATCAACTAGAAGGAGCATATTGGGAAGTGTCTCTGGTCCACTGATAGCCAAGCACTTGAACCTAGAATCTTGGGTCATCTTGGTCAAGATGTGGATTATCCTCCAGAACAGAGAGATTGTTCCAAGTGTTTGGGATTCTATATTGGGTCTGAGTAGCCGGGAAGCTCCCATCCAGACTCCCCAGTAAAATAAAGTTCTACCAGTCCCAAGGGATCAGAAACATTACCTGACAGGTCAATAAATATTTCAGACCTTAACCCAAATACATGCTATAATACATTCTTATTAATGAAACTAATATATATTTTAAAAAAGAGAGAGAGTATGGGTTAAAAGATCAATGTGCATACAGACATGAGAACAGTTCTTGAGATTTCGATACATAATAAAGATGACAAGTCTCAGAAGGGTAGCTGTGTTTGTATCCACACAAACAACGGGGAGTCCTGCAGCACCTTAGGCTACGTCTAGACTGAATGCCTTTTTCAATAGAATAGTGATAGAAATGTAGCTGTGTTAGTCTGGTGTAGCTGAAGCAAAATACAGGACTATGTAGCACTTTAAAGACTAACAAGATAAACCATCTTGTTAGTCTTTTTCAATAGAGGCTTTGTTGACAGATGCTGTCGACTAAGCCTCTGTTGAAATAGAGAACCTAGACTACGATCAGTATTGTCGAAAAAGCAGTTTACATGCAATAGTGCCTTTTTTCGACAGATCTCTGTTGATAAAGGCATTCTTTCTCGTAAAAGGATGTTTGCCGCCGTCGACAAAACTGCCGCGTTCTTTCAACTTACTGTCAACAGAATATGGCGGTAGTGTAGATGCAGGTATAGTTGTGTCGACAAAAGGCCACTTTTGTCGACAAAACCCTGTAGACGAGACACACCCTTAAAGACTAAGGGTGTGTCTACACAGCAAAGTTATTGTGGAATAATAGCCATTATTCCGAAATAACTATGTGAGCATCTAACACAGCAAATCCATTATTTTGACATAATTTCGAAATAACAGATGGCTTATTCCAACTTCTGTAAACCTCATTCTATGAAGAATAACACCTATTCTGAAATAGCTAGTTAAAAATAAAGCGTGGGTAGATGTTCCACTTCTGCTATTTCGAAATAGCCCCTCACCAGAGCCATTATAAATTATTCCTCCTGGGGCTCTAAATTGAGATAGCACGTCTACGTTAAGGAAGCCTGCCTCTGACTCATTTTGAGGCTTCCCTGCAGTGTAGCCATGCTATTTCGAAATAAGCTATTTTGGAATAACTATTCCAGAATAGCTTATTCTGAAATAACTGTGCAGTGTAGACATAGCCTAACAGATTTATTTGGGCAAAGACTACAATGGGCTCATAAAGGGGATGGTGCCAAGGAAGTGGGCCACTAGGTCTCTCTTAAGAAGTGATCCAATTTGGGACTCAATATGAGAACTCGTGTATAAAATGACTGCTCTTTCATCTAGTTTATTCTGACAAAAACCATATTCTATAAATCTGACTTAAATTGAAAGTGCTTAATTCTCCAGGTCTTAAAAGCAGATGGCCAGTCATGTTTTTTTGTACATATTGATTACAGGAGGATCAATAAGGGTACTATTCCCATGGCACCTATTGTGGCTGACATGACTCAGCTCATTCGGAAGGTACAGGCTACCTCTAGATAGTTATTTGTCATTGATTTGGCTAATTGTTTCTCTGCTATTCCATTACACAGGATCGTTGTGCTTTTACCATACAAGAACCACCAATGGCCACTCACATACTTGCCCCAACGATTTCATCACAGTCCTGCTATTGCCCATACCCATGTTATTGATAGGTTGGATTGCCTGCAAGATCAACCCTGTATAGATGATATTTTCATTTTTGGGGAAACAGAGGCACGGATACAAGAAATGGACTGAAAATTAGCACTCATTAAGGAATCACGTTTGAATGTGAGTTTAGAAAAAGCTCAGTTGGTCCTATCACAGGAAACATATTTGGGTTTTGTTATCAAAAAAGAAGGGAGACAAATAGATCAAAGCAAAGTGAGAGCCTTGGTCGAAATGCCAGTCCCTACAGATGAACGCTCTTTACAAGTTCTACCAGGGGGATTACTTTTTTAAAAACTCCACATTTATAAATATGCAGAAACCACCGTACCCTTATAGAAGCTCTTAAATAAAAAGATACAGAGGGAATGGAGGCTGATGTAGGATTAGCCCAGGAAATGCTAAACCAGAAATCTTTAACTGCTCCAGCCCTCTGGTTTCCTGATGAGTCACAGCCTTTTGTAATTTGATTGTCTGCAAATGATGTGGCATTAGCTGCCATACTACTACGGAAAAATAAGAAAGGAAAATGTACAGGTTGCCTATGAGTCCAGAAAGCTTCAGGCCATGGAGCTAACTGTCAATTGTGAAAGAGAATGCCTGACGGCCATTTTGACTGTACAGTTCTTTGAACCCCTCATGAGAACAGCCCCAATTACTGTTCAAAGAACTCATACTCCCTCAAATACATTCTGTCAGGTAAGGCAATGGGAGGGACAGGGGGGATGGGGAAGGCTTCCATAACTCAATGGCACAATGGACACTTATCTTGGTCGATCGAGGCATTAACACTGAAATGGTGTCTACGCCGGACATGCCGACACATGCACTTATTGAAAAAAAGGAAATAGGTATGTATGTCTGGAAGTAACGCTAGGACAGAAAATCACATTAGTAGAAGCTCCTCCCTTAGAGGAGGTGGTTACAGCGACTCAGGAGAAACACTCTTGATTTACAGATGGGAGCTCAGTGATAATAAAAGGCAAGAGAAAAGTAAAATAAACTGCACTTAATTTGGAAGAGGAAGAACTGATACAGAGACATTTGGATCACAGGTCCACACAATGTGCAGAGCTCCATGCTATTTACCAGGTCCTAAAACAATATGAACATGCTCCTCAGTCAATATATTTTTAAGCAGATAGTGATTTTTGTGTGAAGAGGGAACACAATCTGGATGAATGATTGGGCAAGAAATTATTGGAAAGCTGCAGATGGGAAGGAAATTGCCTATATAGAAGACTGGAGATGGATATATTGGTGCTTTAATAATAAGCCAGGGCAATTAAAAATGAGGCACATAAAAGCATATAATAAAGGTACAAGTCTAGAGGTGATTTGAAACAACCAAGCTTACAATATAGCATGCCATCACAAGGTGGCAGCAGTAACCAGCAGAAGCCAGAGTACAAATCTTAACCCAGTGTCTGGGTCAGAAACAAGTATCTCAGGTAAATATACCAGGTACAGTGGAAAGACAGGAGTTAATTAACGTGGTACATCAATTTCTGCATGAAGGGGCTGAAGGATCCTTGAGGAGGTTAAAGCACGCTAGTGGAGAATGTTAAAACATGGGTGAGGAATTGTGTATGATAAACTTAAAAAACAACAAATGGTCTTTTAGCACTTTATAGACTAACAGAACATGTAGATGGTATCATGAGCTTTTGTGGGCACAGCCCACAGAAAGCTGGCTAGATTGTTGGGCCCAATGGGTAGTGATCAATGGCTTGATGTCAGATTGGCAGTCGGTTTCTAGCGGAGTGCCCCAAGGATGTGTTCTTGGACCGGTTTTGTTCAACATCTTTATTAATGACCTGGATGAGGGGATGGATTGCACCCTCAGCAAGTTTGCAGATGACACTAAGCTAGGGGGAGAGGTGGATACGCTGGAGGGCAGGGATAGAGTCCAGAGTGACCTGGACACATAGAAGATTGGGCCAAAAGAAATCTGATGAGGTTCAACAAGGACAAGTGTAGAATCCTACTCTTGGGACGGAAGAATCTCAAACATTATAGGCTGGGGACTGACTGGCTAAGTAACAGTTCTGCAGAAAAGGACCTGGGGATTACAGTGGATGAGAAGCTGGATATGAGTCAACAGTGTGCGCTTGTAGCCAAGAAGGCTAATGGCATATTAGGTTGCATTAGGAGGAACATTGCCAGCAGATCCAGAGAAGTGATTATTCCCCTTTATTCGGCTCTGATTAGACCACATCTAGAATATTGTGTCCAGTTCTGGGCCCCCCACTACAGGAAGGATGTGGACGCATTGGAGAGGGTCCAGCGGAGGGCAACCAAAATGATTAGGGGGCTGGAGTGCATGACCTATGAGGCGAGACTGAAGGATTTGGGTTTATTTAGTCTGCAGAAGAGAAGAGTGAGGGGGGATTTGATAGCAGCCTTCAACTTCCTGAAAGGAGGGTCCAAAGAGGCTGGAGAGAGGCTGTTCACAGTAATGAGGGATGGCAGAACAAGGAACAATGATCTCAAGTTACAGTGGGAGAGGTCTAGGTTGGCTATTAGGAAAAACTATTTCCTTAGGAGGGTGGGGAAGCACTGGAATGGGTTACCTAGGCAGGTGGTGAAATCTTCATCCCTAGAGGTTTTTAAGTCTCGGCTTGACAAAGTCCTGGGTGGGTTGATTTAGTTGGGACTGGTCCTGCCTTGGGCAGGGGGCTGGACTTGATGACCCTTGAGGTCTCTTCCAGCCCTAGGAGTCTATGATTCTAGCCCGCGCATGATCCCATCTACATGTTTTGATAGTCTATAAAGTGCTACTAGACCATTTGTTGTTTTTTTCAGTTTATCCTGTACAGACTAACTCGGCTACCCCCTGAAGCTTCTGAATTGTGTATAGTGTATATAGGATAATGCATGTCCCCCACACTGGCCAAAGATGGCCTGGACCGTGGCAAAGAGTTCAGATAGATTTTGCTGACAAATTACTATGGAGCAAAAAAGGTTTTTGGTATTTATTGGTGATCACTGATTTTTTTTCAAGGTGGGTAGAAACTTTCCCCACAACCAAAACAGCATTAATTCCTTAATAATTGCCACTCCTGAACTTATAGATTTGAATAATAAAGGAACTTTCATGGGAAAAATATTTTCAACAATATTACAGGCTGTAGGAATTAAACAATTTTCATATTCCACACAAGCCTCAATCTTTTGGGCAGGTGAAACACACGAATCATATGATAAAAGAAGTGCTTCATAAGATAGCAAATCAAACAGGGAGAGATTGGCCTGACAGTAGCTAATATCAGGAGCAATTTATCTGCAGCAGTAATAGGTTAAGAACAAAAATCCAGCTCTGCCAAATCATGTTTGGGCAACCCATACAGCTAATAATTTATTCCAGCCAATTAATTAAAGACTCAGGAGATGCTCCTGTGATGACACAGCATAACTGTTTCCAAGGCTTAAAAGGTTGTAGGAAGACAAAACCACCTTGCAGTCAATGTTCCCTCTATTTTTTCCATCCATGTGCAGATTTTTTTCCACCCATGTGCAGAATAAAATATGTGCACCAAGTGATGTATGAATGTGCACCACCAGAAGAAACAAAACTTAGCCA